AAAAAAAAAAAAAAAAAAAAAAAGAATATGAAGAAAGATGAAGCGCATTAGCTTCCATCTTGAAATGTCATGTACATTCGATATGTGTTGTTGTGTCTGATTCTCAAGGTTTGATGTATGGATAAATTTTTGGCTGTCGTGCTGTGTTCAGGTAACTAACTAAACAACTTCTGATGTCAACTGTTGGTTTCATAGCAAAATCGTGTGTTGATAACATATATAGTTTGTGTTGTTTGATAGTATGTGGATGACATATAGTTTCTCAATTTCTGCCTTTGCCTAAATATTAATAGTTATATATGTAATTTAATTATAACTAGTAATTAGTTTTGTAAATTTTATTAATTTTGGGGTAAAATGACAAAAGTTTGTATTTCTCTCTAGCAAAAAGTTGAATTTTATTGTCAACTAGAGAGGATTGTATTACAATTAGATAGTAATAGCTAACTATTAGTGCATACTAATTCTAATATAATTGTGACTTAAGAACTAAAGAAATGTGTATATCTAATGAGTTTAAATTTATTTACTACATTTATTTTGAAAATGTTCTACTATTCAATGGAGTGCAGCACATAAAACAAAAAATACTCAGAGCCAAATATACCAATTATCAGAATAATCTATCACTTATGAGATAATGCCACATCAAGTCCAAATTTCCCAAAATTAAAAAAGGCCAACACAAACATTTCTTTTACCAAAAGACTTAATTAGAGGATATTCCTCCTATATCAGAGTAAGGTTGTGACGTGGGTAAGCCACACTTAAGATATCATGATCCAGCCAATGGCCAAGATCTCGCGGCGGGTCAGAAGACGATGATAACCAACCGGGACATCAATAGGTAGCGAAGCTAAGGTATCGGCCGAGAAATTCCCTTCCCGATGAATATGGGACAAACGAACACGCCACTCTTGTCTGAGCAACTATCGTATGGCATGAATAATGCTTCCATGAAGACCGAGGTTATCCCCAGTCCTTGTTACCATAGCTACGACACTACTATTATCCATTTCCACCAACACTTGAAATTCAATGGTTATATTTCATAATTGATCCTTGTTTCAGTTTATTTTCAAATAAAAGATAAATAGACCTAAAACAATTCAATGGTTATATTTCATAACTGATCCTTGTTTTATTTAATTTTCAAATAAAAGATAAATAGACCTAAAACAACTGTAAATATATTAGATATTTATGATTTTTTGTGGGAGCATTAATTATGTTTTAACATCATTTTCTATTCAAGAAGTGATTTATGAGGTATAAATATGTTCCAAAATCTTTTCTCTTTTCCTAGTCTTTCTTTTAAAATTATGAAAAAAACTACATACTTAAATTATAAATATATTTTAAATTGTTAATAATTTTATAATATTATATTTTTATATATAATATATCAAATTAATATGAATTTGACATCGATATTGTACATATAGAATAGATAAATAATAATATTCCTTTATAATAAAAATTAACTTTTCTATTAACATCATTTGGAAAAATAAAATTAGTTAAATTAATTTAACTAAAATGTAGTTATGTGATAAGATGAGTAAGTCGTATAACTGACGAGTGTTATTTAAATATAAATAACAATATAGTTTTTTTTTTTTAAAGATATTTAGAATTCAAAATATTTCTTGTTTCAATTTTAAGTATAACAATTATTCGCGCAATACATGAATATTTTATTAGTTAGTTTTTTTTTTTATTCATGCATCATTGTATTACTTTTATTGTATTTATTTTATTTATATTTTTGGTTGCATGTCCTCGACACATAGTCATTTATGCCAATTAAAATATAAAGTAAATAAATTTATTTTTCTTTTTATATATGCTCGACCATATCACGTTGGCCTCGCTAAATGACTTTACAAACCTCATGATTTTATCATAAGAATATTATAATACGTAACTGTTTTATGTTAATATATCTGGACAATAATATATATATATAGGTGTGTCAATTTTGAATTAGTCTTTATAATTTTCAAATTATAAATATGTTACACTTAACACGAGATGCCATACTTTTCAAAATAGGATAAATATTCAATTACAAAATTTTGCAAACAAATGTGTGATATGACAGAAAATATTTGTTTTTATATAATTGTGCTATTAGTAGTCATAACCATTACGTAGATGTACTCTTTTTAGTTTCTACAGATATACGTATTTTCAATAAAAATGTCACGTTATAAAAAATAGACAAATTTGCTCTTAATATCACGACTCTTATCGAAATTGCAATTTAATCATGACATTTTCACTTTTGTAAATTATATCACAATCTTTAGTTTTTGTTACATTTTGGTGCACGGATTCTGAAAACAATCATAGAAAAGTTTATGTGGTCGAATAACAAACTGAAGATTGACATATAGTTTGCACGGGGTATGCAAATCGGTGCATCAATTTGCAGCAAACTAAAGATTGTAATATTATTTGCAAAAACGAAAATGTCGTGATTAAATTACGATTTCATGAAAGTTGTGATATTAAAGGCAATTTTGCCTAAAAAAATAACATAGATTAAAGTATGATATTTGATAGTAAAAATATGCATTCTTGTTCATATAGTATAGCATATCAATTCAACGGTTACCTTAGAAATAAAAAACATAAACTAGATCAAAAATTGACTTCTGAAACTTGGAATAAATATTAAATTATTTTTTACCAAATCCATATGAGAATGATAATTAAAAAATTTTGGAGCTATATATAGAAATTACAGATCTTTATGATAATGACAGGTAAAAATACTTCAGGTCCTTGATGAATTTTTGTCTGTAGGAGTTATTTTAGATTGTATTTTTTATTTTTAATCATATAAGCTAAACACAGAATACGTCAGTATCATTATATTTTTTCAATGATAGACTTCATAAATAAAAAAAATTTTACATATTACACTACAAAGAAAATGATGAAATTCCAATAGAAATATATTAAAATTGAATTTCAACGGCAATTCCAATGAATATTTTTTAATGTTATTATTTCCGTTGGAATTTTCTAATGAATTCTCACGAAAATTCCAACAAAAATATTCCGTTGGAATGGATTTTCCATTGGAATTTTCATTAGGTTTTGACGATTCTAACGGTAGATTTTCCAATTGGGGTAGAAATAAAAATTCCAACGGAAATTGCATATTTCAACGAAAATTCTTACAGTAAAAACCCGTTGGAATAATCAAATTCCATCTAAAATTCTAATGAAAAGTACATTCCAACGGAATATTTTCCTGAATTTTCGTTGAAATCATTCCAACAGAAGCTATATCGTTGGAATATCCGTTAGAACTTTCATTGAAAAATATTAGCATAGGATTTTCCGTTGGAATCACTAGTGGAAAAAACAGTTTTTATAACGGGTAAAAAAGGCTTTTTATAACGGTTTTGAGTTCGTTATAATTTCAGGCGTTATAGAAAGTATGAACTTTCTATGACGGTTGTTGAACCGTTATAAATTGACTGCCATTTATAACGGGTAACATAGACCCGTTATAAATATTTAGTTTACCTGTTATAGACTACACTATTCTATATCAGTTCCTCATTCACCCGTTATAAAATATACAATATTTATAACGTAGTTTCATTTACCCGTTATAAACTTCTTTCGTTTACACTATAATTTATAACGGTTTACTAAATACCCGTTATAAAAACAATGAATTTGGTAACGATTAAACAATGACCCGTTATAATTTTGAACCCACATTAAAATGCGCAATTTTTTATATCGTAGATAACACCTGTTAGAAAAAAGGGTGCAACATTCTATTTTCTTAAAAAACAAAACTACCATATTAACAAACAAATAAAACTACCATATCAACAATACCAAGTGACAAATAGTTTCACACCACATGTTCAACAATCTACGAAGCCTGTATCCTACTTCGCTAATGAAGTTATATCGAGAAAA